ATTCCTGCTTACTTTTGTTTTATGTAAAAAGGAATTATTAAAATCATCAATGTACCTGTGTACAACTACTGAAATGAAAGCCTAACTGGCATTTCCCATTCACAGCCCCGCATCGCCATCACTTCCAGGCATGATGCAGGAAGAAAGAAAGTGAAGTGTAGGAATGAAGTAACTTGTGACGTGGCAGTTCTGCCACATTCAAGCTCCCTGCCTGCTAGTCTTGAGCAGTATCCCTGTTTTTCTTAAAGACTATTGAAGGTGCTCAGTTAAGTACGGTGGGTGTCACAGACTCAACCATGACAAGTGCCTTACTTTGGAGGCTGAACAAAAGAAAAGCAAAATCCCTTTTGCAAGACTGTTTAGCAGGATGCCTTCAAAGCATTTAATAATGTGGAAACATTTTTTTTTGGTCAGCCTTGCAGGAAATCTGAAAATACCTGATGTTAGTCCAAAATGTACTGTTCAGATCCATAACAACTTATTTTATGGATCTGTGCTGATTAAGACCTAATTTTCCCTGGTTTCCACTACAGTACATGGAGAAAAACATGCATCTCCCAGAGCAACCTGCTCCACCTATAGCATTAGTTGCATTCTGGAAATGCTCTTCTCTCTCTCCTGACTGCTAACAGAGAGCTTAGAATAATCCGGCACTTTACAGTGCTTCAGTCAAGTGCATAAAGTAAGCTGGATTTAGATGGTTTTAAAAGTGGTGAGTTATTTGAAATGGAGAATAATCATGACAAAAACACCCGGAAGGAGGCTATAAGGAATGCAGCCCAGGACCCAGAATCATAGAGTTATAGAATCCTTAAGGTTGGAAGAGACCCTAAAGATCAAGTTTCAACCCCCCTGCCATGAGCAGGGAACCCCACCACTAGATCTGATTGCACAAAACCTTGTCCAACCTGGCCTTAAAAAGCTCCAAGAATGGGGCATCAACAACCTCCCTGGGCAACCTATTCCAGTACCTTACTACCCTCCTGGTGAAGAATTTCTTCCTGATGTCTAACCTAAATCTCCCCTCTCTCAGTTTAAAACCATTACCCCTTGTCCTATCAGACTATCTTCCCTGATGAAAAACCCCTCCCCAGCTTTCCTGAAGCCCCTTTCAAGTACTGGAAGCCCACTATAAGGTCTCCTTGGAGCCTTCTCTTCTCCAGGCTGAACAGCCCCAACTCTCTCAGCCTGTCTTCATAGCAGAGGTGCTCCAGCCCTTTGATCATCTTGGTGGCCCTTCTCTGGACCCTCTCCAACAGCTCCATGTCTTTCCTGTGCTGAGGGCACCAGAGCTGTACACAGTGCTCCAGGTGGGGTCTCACCAGAGCAGAGCAGAGGGGCTCCCTGGCCCTGCTGGCCACACTTCTTTTGATGCAGCCCAGGATGTGTTTGGCTCTCTGGGCTCCAGCACACACTGGCGGCTCATGTCGAGCTTCCCGTCTACAAGAAGCAGCAGGCATACTGCAGCAGGTCTAAGAGGATGATTAGGAGCAATTCTCAGGTAGGAAGTTATACCTGTTTGTCTTATGCTCTTCTACTGTGACAGGCAGGCAGTCTCCAGACCCTGCTGGAGACACTAAAAGCTGTGTTCTTTTTACCATCATTTGAAAATACACAAACAGGAGATTTGCTTTGCAGCAGCAGCAATATTTATGGATGGATATATTACCTCCAGCGCTCATGGGAAATAATAACTCTGGCAACTCTTTTACAAACCCTACCTGCCAAACTGCTCTTAATGGATTGACACATCATGTTCATAATGTCAGTCCTCATCTCTCATACAGTAAACCACATTATTTCGTGTCTAGGAATATCAAAGCTTTCTGGACAACTTTTGCTCACAGTTATCTTGGAATCAATTATTCAACTAAATTACTGCTTTACAGCTCACCTTCAGGATACAGAAGAGCCTTTGGGAAAATTAGGATTTGAAGGTATGTGACTAACTATAATAGAAGGGGAACCACAGGCTTATGTTGAAATTTATTCTATTCCCAAATAATCAGCTTTTGCAGAATAAAAAGGGGTTTTTTATGCTAAATGAACCTAGAAACTGTTCTGAGTAAGACTGAGAACAAGATTCCAATCAGTGTGGTTCCACTTTAATTTTGTAATAATTTACAATAGGCTTTTAAGTGCACTTAGAAGATTGGTGTCACTTCACCTTTTAAATAAAAAATCTGTATTTATAATAATGGTGCTTCCTCAAATTGTAACAAGAGATTTTTTTTCCAGATATATTATGCCTGTCACTCAACAACTCATTACAACCCCCACCCAACAATCTGCTAATGAAAAATACTCACATATCACTACTACTATAAAAAAATATCTGAAGGTTGTTGCTGAATCAATTAGCTGATCGATTCGTACCCATGAAAGAAACAATCACAATTTATGGGATTTACATGATAGAAAGCATGGCTAAATTGTGCATTTGCATTTTAGGAAAATACAGTTTAGTTCAGATATGTCTCATTAAACTTGAGCTGTTTATAGTTATGTATCTAGTCTAAGCTAATTACTATAATCCCTCTTTACCTGAGTTACTTCCGTTTAATTAATAGGTGCCTCCAAAAACCTACTCTTGTCTACCCAAACATGTGGTTTAGGGTTACAAGACTTGCTTAGTGAGCTCTGACACCTCTGCACCAGGGCTGTATGCTTCCTCTAGCAGTGTCTAGGCAGGAAGAGTATGGATTACCCTGGGGCTGAGTCTGCAAGGAAGAGAAGAAAATCCCATTCTATGCAGATATTTGAGCAGATCAAGTGTGCAAAGACAGAAGTTTGCTGTTCTTGTTTAAATAAGCTGACAAACATATGTATAAAATTTAGTGGAGCAGTGAGGGAGGCTGGCAGTCCAGAGGGCCAGGTTTTCCCATATCTCCACCTCACTGCTGTACCATGAAGTACTGACAAAGTTCCTCTTGCAGGAAGATGTGTGTGATTCCTCTGGAGGCTTCTTACATAGAGCTGCTTAGCAGGTACACACACATACCCTTGTGGAAAGCACCACCAGTTCATTTAAAGAATCCCTACTGACAACAGCAGAATCACAACTCCTCTTGATCAAGAAAAAATAACAGTCTTCCTAGGACTACACTCAGCAGGCACCTTTTAGTTTGATCTCTACAGCCTCTACCCAAAGCTCAGTGAAGTTCTGTAGAGCTCTCCAGCTGACTTCCCACGTATTTTGGAGGAAGACCTCACAGGACAGTATCACAAAGTTGCCCCACTTCAGCAGGATAAAAACACTGGAGGATGTAATTTTATGAATCAAGGTGAAATAATGTAACAATCTAGTGCTGCCAAAAGTCATCCTGCACCTTCCTCTTATTTATTTACCCATTTGCGATGAGTTGTGTAGGGTCAGCAGAAGGGTCCAAATACTGGACCACCCTGGAGGCAGGTGGAGGGAAGGCAGGAAAGCAGATGGGAAGGAGGTATTCCTCTTTTGGCAGCAGCAAGCTGCTATGTTACCTTAGCCACACAAAACACTGTTACTGGAAGGTTTCCAATTCTAGCTTTTGCTTTAATATAGAAGAATTTTCCTAACTGGCTAGGACATTTAAAGAGATTTTTCCTGTATTTCCCAGCACAGGGAAAAGACATGAGCTACTGTAGCAACCCTAGGGTTTTATTACACAGTAGCTAAACGTGTGCTACGGACACACATAGTATCTTGGGGGAGGATTTGCCTTGAGACTACTGATTTTATTACAGCTGGATCCAGGTATGTCTATTATCCACCTGTCTGTTTCCCAACCTCCCCACAATGAGCAGGTGGAGTATTTACATTTGCAAGAGCTGCTAGTTGCTGCTTACACACAGAGATAATGACATCCTACAATGCTACGCTCAGTGGTTTCTATTACTGGTAGGCTGCCTGGCTTTTGTGTTGAGCTCAGATGGTGGCAGTGAACTATTTGTGAGGAGATGATACCTCTTTCATGGATTAACAGATTTAAAAATACCATGACAACAATAGAAAAATAATAAATACATTGAAAGGAACTATTATTATTTATTTAATAGGTGCTACCTTAAACTTAATTATTCTTTACTGTTTGCACTTTGCCTCTATCTGGTAAGTTCAATGACATCTTTCTGTTCCTATATATCACTGTGTAAATTCCCATTTGCATCTATCAGCAACAGATAATACTAAGATCTGCAAGAAAGAATAAAGGGCTTTACCCGAAAACAGAGCTTCAGTGGGGGCCTGGCAGACTAACACAGCCACAAACCCTCTCTTGCTATAGGAAAACCAAGTGTTTCTAACACGAGCATTAAGTCCTTTAGCAGACAATTAACTAGGAAATACACTTTTCCTCATTCACACTGTCCAAATCCTTGCATGGAAATGGCTGATAATCCTAGAGAACAAAATAAAGTCCCAAAATAAAACAAGCAACCAAAGGACTGGCTTGGAGGCTCCAGAACCAAACCCATGTCACACTATAAACCCCCGAGAGAGCGCTTCATTCATACAGGAATCCAAACATCAAGATCAAGAGTTTTTAGAAGAGAACACACACTGGGATTTGCTGGCAGTTTCTCAGTCAGAGCCGGTGTAATTTCACAGCAGCTGTTTTCAATAACTACATCCCAAGCGCCATCCCGTGGCGACCAGCATTCCGACCAGCATTCCCACAGCGCTGGCTTGGAGCAGATCTGGCTGTAGGGCAGGAGGGCTGGAATTAATAGGGGGGGTGTCTCCTGATCAAAACCGCAAATTCATCATGAGGGCGCTGCCCTCACTTGGAGCAATTAAGCTGCTTCATTTTCCATTAGAAAGATAAGAGTTGCAACTACACTAAGGAACATCTTCTCCTCTCAGAAAGTTAATCACAGAATCAATAAAGCCAATATAAATATATTGTTATTAATTATTATTATTAACGTCTTATTAATAATAATGACAGCAGTCAAAGACTAGTGGTTTGAGTTGCACTTTCTTGTAAAAAGTTACAATTTGAAAACTAATCATCATTAAAAGCAATGTTGCACTTTCCAGTTCAGTTCCCACAGGAATACAAGTCTTCTGTGGTATCTAAGCAATAAGGTTATTAGGAATTTATTACATTAGGATCTTGGTTTTATCAGGACCGTTTTCATATCTTGCTTCATGACTGTGTTTACAGCATCTCTACAGGCAACCCAGTAAAGGAGGTTGTTCTTCTGCCTGTCATTAAGAGGCAAAAAACTCTCCCCAAATACAGCACATCTTGACAACCATTCTCACATTTCCCTTTCTGAGTTGCTCCAGACTTTATATAATGAATTCTCTCTCAGTCACAAAGCCAGCATTCCAGTGTTGAGTCTAAAATCCATTTTAAAAAAATTCCACAGCATTATCCTAACCTAAGTACTGGTTCTTGATTTAAAAATACCTAGCCTTTATTACAAATTCACATTAGAGTTACGAAATTACCACAATTGTTTTGGAATGTTACTGCTTACAGCTCCCTAGATTTGGAGCAGGGAGAGAGGAAAGGGCCTTTTTTCATTTCCATTGTGTGTCTCTGAGAGCAACAAACAAGAAGTCACAGGCATAGGGAGAAGACAGAACTTAGCTCCTTGCTTCAGGCTTACTGTTACTCTTATACCAATGATGCAGCTGAAGGATTTCAAAGGGGTAGGACATGGGAAAGGGAATTGGACAAGGGGTCAGTATTGTCCTCATCCAGCTGGGTAATTAGTAAGAAGTGTGTTTGTACTGCTAAAAAAGTTTAGGGGGACAGCTATCAGTCCTAGGCCTGGACAAGCTCCAGACAGATGGCTTTGCTTTCTGGTTATACCTGTTTAAAATAAATGCTTTTTGGAGTGTTTTGCTCTCTTTCAAGTTTGAGTTGTTATGGTTTGGTTTGCTTTTCTTTTTTTTTAATCAAAGGACAAATTATTTAAATGGCAGTAATTTGTAAACATCCTAAAACACCAGAACTCATCATCAAGTGCCCAATTAAAAGCAGACATCACTTATACCACACTTCAAAAACAGCTCTTTCTGAATTTCTGCTGCTCATTAGCTTTATGTCTTATCAGGACATTTGCAAACAGGACACAGAAGATTAACAGACATTTGAGTTACTTCTTATTCCAAAAGCAAAGGAGTTAAAAAAACCCTCCATGTAACAAAACCGGTAATTAGTCAACATTTACTAGCTGTTGGCAAATCCTGTTTTTTTAAGAGTACTGTGTCTTACAGCATTAACAAATAATGCCATTGATCTGATGGAAGTGGCACATTTGAGCAAGTTGCAAAGCCTGCTCATGGTATATGTAACACTTTACCTTTGCTTCTTCTCAGTTATGAGGCACGAGAATAAATCTCACAAAACTCCACCTCCCACTAACCATTTACATATCATTGTCAGTACAGCTCAATTAGTTTTGCCCAGCTCTTTTTGAGATTATTTTCAGTAAACTCAAACACAATTACCTGACTTAAATTCATCTTGTTGGTTTTTGTGCGATTTTTTCCTTCACGTAATTCTTCAGAAATCGCTTTGTTCTTCCTCCACCTTCTTGATCTCTTTTCTAAATCATAACAGACTTCTTCAGTCTCACTGCTGTCTGAAAACTCCAAGCTGGTTGCCTGGGGATTGAAATTCACATCCAGTTCTCCATGGAAATGTTTTTTTTCTGTTCTGGGCATATCACTTTGAGTCCTGTTTTGTAACCAAAGAAGTTTGCTAGGTCCTTTAGCTTCCTGGGAAGAGTTTACTGAAGATGTTTCAGAATCAGAGAACAGTGTCTCAGTATTGGTGTATAACCCAGAGGAAGGGGAGGTCACTGCCTGGTACTGATCATTGCCATAAATCCACTCAGTACCATACTGGGAATTGGAGTAACAAAAATCGCCTGGTAATTGCCGAGGTCTCCGACGCAGCTTGTTCAAGGCCACATTCCAGTCATAGTCATCCTCACTGTCTGAGCCCATCTCGTCATAGGCAGACACGATACTGGATTCATTCTCCAAAGCTTCAAACACTTGACTCTTTGGTTTGGCAAGCATTCGAGGACGAGGCAAAGTGACATTCTGCAAAGCCACCCAGTTTCCATCCGTGCTTTGGAAAACAGAAGGCGGATCTATGAAAACGAAACAAGAACAATTATTGCTACGTGGTCGCAGTGTTGGAAGGTTCATTTTCCTTGCCAGTTTGCAATCAACTGGCCACAAACTGGAGTGTTCAACAAAACCAGTGAACAAATGCAAGTGGTGCTGCTTCGTGAATTCTCTCATGTTGTGAGCTATGCTGCTGGACTTTTCATCAGAAGGCACCACTTGAAGTCCTAGCGATGACTATTTAGAATGTGAGAATACTTGGACCAAAGCTTTTCTCTAAAATAATTACTCGGATAGGTTGAGAGAACACTAGTACTGAGACATGTATAAAACTTGTGTTTTGCAAATGTCTGACTCTTTGTGCAGTTCTGGTCCCCCATCTCAAACTGGAAAGATGGAAAAAGGGTCAGAGAAGAGCAACAAAGGTTACAACATGTTCTGAAACATCTTCCATTCAAGGAACGATAAAGTAAGCCAGAGCTCTGCCATCTAGAGGAGAGAAGACTGAGAGAATACAGGCTACAAGAAATGGGGGAATCTCTTCCAACCTAACTACTAGAGAACATCAAGTGAAACTTGTGAAATCAAGGTTCAAAACAAGTGGGATGCAATGGGCACCAGACCTGTGAAGCTTCTTGCCTAAGGGTGTTACAGATGCTAGAAATTCATCAGAGATAAACCAGAAATGGCTATGGACATGGAAGAGAAGTCCACTGAGGTTTACTAGACACAGAAAAACCCTTCTAACTGAGGCAGTCATTAAGCTTAAAGTTCTAGCAGTTCAGAGCCAATTCAGGAGCAGCATGAAAACCACTTGAGTCCTAATCTTTTATAGGCTCTTGTTTATGGTTATCATTGCTGCCGTTGACGTATCCCAGACTACATTAATTTTTCGCCTGACTCAAGCATTGCTGCTCATGTATTCTTAGACATTTTCAGAGTATATTTTACAACCCTGACAGAAATTTTTAAAAAAATGCAACAAATATGGTCAAAAAGTGCTGTATAAATCACAGAATTTCATTTCTTCTAAATTTTGATTCTGTTTTCAGTTGAACTTGGGAAGTCCTTTCATGGTAAATGTGAATGTGTGATGACTCTACCTTCCACAGTAGCTGAATAAATACATAATGCCATGGATTTACACAGTAATCTCAGCCTGCTGAATGAATTTTTCAGCCTTACTGACTTCTTCCATGAGTTCAAATTTGCCATTTCCAGAAAACTGCAGAAGTACTTACTATAAACTAATAGTTTTCTTAAACTGTAAACAGAACATCACTATTTTAAAATGGAAGCAGTAAAATACGGACAGCACTGTATATAGTACTCTAGCATCTTGCATTACAGGAGTACAAATACTTGGAGATAAGGAAAACTACTTTTTCTCTGGAATTGTTCTTAAAGAATGTAAGTAAGAAGGTGTGCTTAGTTAAAAAGAAAAAAAGAAAGAAAATATGTGGTGCATTGCTACCAACAAAACACCCCCACAAAAAAGAAACAATTAAGTTAGGTCCTATGCAAGATTAATAACAGGTTTTGTATTTGTTACTCATTTGAGTCCTTCTGGCTTGTTTTCACTTCCTAAATGTCATGCCAATTGAGAACTTGAGAAAACACCTCACTGATGTAAATCTTACTCTTGCTTAAAAAGAAATAAAAATAGTAATAGCTTTCTTGTAGCAGTGACCAGCTGAGCATATAACTGAATTCAGGTTTATAGGGAGAACTAATAACTCTTTATTGTAACAGCTGATTTTGGAGAGGAAAAAAACCAAACCAAACCAAACCTAAACAAACCACAAGCTATCAAGCATAAGGAAGTTCTCCTTTTTCACTTTTTCCAGCTGTGCTCACTGATCTAATTATACAATTCTCTTGAGAGGAAAAGTACCTTTCCTTATAAACATCATCCTTCCAGCAAAGCAAACAGCTCTGCAAGATGCAAATCTCTAACAGGAACTGAATTCATCTGCACCAGCTTACACACAGGTAATGCAGTAGAGTAGCCACATCATTGCATTTTTATCTCCCAACCCTCATCCTCTTATTTTTTTTTTATCAGCAACATGTAAGAATGGGTCAAACATCCTCAGTTAACTGAAGAAACGACAGGACTGTAGTTGATTACGTCTTAGATGGTAAGCAGGGTAGAAAGGAAACCACTGAGAGTTTCATATTCAGAAAGCTGACTCAGTTTTATGCCAGCTTAAAGTACTGTCAAATGCTCCCTTCCTGATTTTCCATTCATTTACTTGAGTGAATGGATTTTGCACACAATTCTTTGGGTATACACTATCATTTATCCATTTGAAAATGAAAATAGATTTAAGAAGACTCATTGTGAAGCTACTGGTAAAGGGGAAAAAGCTAATTCATTATTTGGCTCTTGAGTCATGATTTAAACCAGTGTAAAATGTAATCAAAATGAATTGAGATCTGCTTTTTGGCTACATGACTAAAAAGCTCACTGATTGTGTCACTCCAAACTCTTGGTTGAGATTTCTGTAGTTTCCTGGGTTCTAATACAGAGCTTCTTACTACTACATAGGTGGTATCCTATTTACACAAATTAGCACACTCAGGTATTAACTATAAGCTCAGCCAGCACCACGATTTCATCATAAACGTGTTTCTTAGATGAAAGAAGCAGAACAAATCTTCTGAGTAGAGCACCTGAAAGGAAACTGGGTCAGTTTGTCATTCTGGGGTGGTTAAGCAATTGTTAAGTACCAAATCACTCAACAGTTGAATTCAATGAGATTGAAGTGGGTTCTTAAATTTAAGCACCCAACTTTAACTGCTTTACTGAAAATAGGCCTGCCACTAAAATGCCAAGGAGAACAACACTTCTGACAGGGTGCTGAATGAGCAGTCCACAAAGTGATGCATACTTAGTAAAGTCAGATTTTAGTTCTCCTTTACTATCACTTTCTTTCTTGGGGGGGGTGGGGTACTGACACTGTCTAATTTTTGAGTAAAAATGAATCTAAATTTTGAGTAAAAATATCTGAGGATATCAGCTGGCATTACAGATAAACAGACTGAATTGTGGGCAGCCCCCATCCCTGGTCCACACTACACACACTGGCTGCTTCTGCTTGCCAGCACCTAGTGAGCCAGCTGGGGGAGTGAGGGCACCAGTAAACTCACCCTACAAAAGAGAATCACAGAATCACAGAATGTTAGGGGTTGGAAGGGACCTCCAAAGATCATTGAGTCCAACCCTTTCACTCAGAAAGGCCTCCAGACAGGTCTTGAAAGTCTCCAGAGAAGGAGACTCCACAACCTCTTCCAGTGCTCTGTAACTCTCACAGTAAAGAAGTTCCTCCTCAAGTTGAGGTGGAACTTCTTGTGCTCGAGTTTGAATTCATTGTCCCTCGTCCTATCACAGGGTAAAAGTGAAAAGAGCTTGTCCCTGCCTTCTTGATGCCCAGCCCTCGTGTGTTTATAGACATTAATTAGATCCCCTCTCCGTCTTCTCCTCTCTAGACTGAAAAGCCCCAGGTCTCTCAGCCCTTCCTCATAAGGCAGGTGTTCCAGTCCTTTAATCATCCTCATAGCCCTCCTTTTCTGCTTGTTTAGTTTAATGAGACAATTTGCTATAGGGGTCAGACGGGCTATACAGCTGTTACAAGAGAAGCAGCAGAACAAGCAGACTCTAATGGGAGGACAAAAGCAGCAGATGTTACTTCTGCTGTTCCCCTCACCTGGAGCTCTGCTGCAGTAAAACAGTTCAGCCTCATGCAGCTGTGAAAACTAACCAGGCTCTGTGCTTCTGTGCAGCAGTTGTCTGGTGCTATCTTTTAGCCTCTTGAACACTACAGGCACCCCAAGAGAGGCAGTGGAAATGGGATTCTCCCAAAGAGCAGGAACCACCTGAGAGAGCAAGGAATTGTATTCTATCCCAGGGTGCTGATTCAGAAATTACTTAGGGAGATACTCACAATCCATATTCAAACCTATACCTGGTTAGTAGGGATGCACAGAACCCTGCACATTGGTGAATGCATCAGAGTTGAAAATAAAGGTCCAAGGGGGAATCCTAAATGTGAATTATTTTATATTTATATTATATTACTAATGAACAGTTAACTTGTGCAACAGAAGGGAGTCTGTGGGCAACTGCAAACTCCTTCAACTGGAAGGCAAATAACTAGGTGCCAAAGAAGGATCGTTGGGCTCTTGTGTCCTAAAAGCTCTGGAACGTATCCAAATTAGATGCCTAATATATCCTAACAGTCCAAAATCAACACCATAGAGGCTCAAAGTTTTAATCTTTCCTTGGAAAAAATACAATGGCAAGATAAACAATGAAATCATGACACACCACCAAATAGCTATCTTTGCAAGCACTGAGGTCAGCAGAAATTTCCTGCAGAGGTTCCTTCCTTTCAGCTGTATTTATTCCACATATGAGTGAGTACCAAAAGAAGAATCATATTCGTACTAGAAATATTTACTTGTTTCATTTAGCCTGTCCACACTTTTCCAGCTTGGTAATGCAGAGAGTTTGCGTTCCTTCTGTTTCCTGAATTGTCCTTTTTGCTGCCTCCAAAGAGCTTCAGTCACAGACGATGCAGGGTCTAGTCCTTTACTGGGCAAATCTTCACTAGCCAGGGAAAATGCAGACTGAGACCTCTGTGGGAATAAAAATCAAAGAGCATAACTTAAAAATAGAAAGACTTCATTATCAAACTCTTTGCCATAACTAGTATGAGTAGTTCATTACCCATGGAAGTGTGGGATCTGCCAGCATCCAGAAAATGGAATCTAATGCACTAAAAATAATTGCTTCAGGTCTAGATTCTTTATTTGTGTGCATTTCTGATGCTATGCAAGGAGAAAGGATATTGCTTATACTACCACAGATGAGGTGGAAATAAATAGCTAAGGTGAAGATGTTCAGGATGCTTTTGGTGAGGACTATTATCTAACTGCTTCGACTCAAACTAGCCAGAAAGAGATCCCACTGTGGTGAGACATGATGATCTATTGTTGGCTCAACAAGCCATCTGGTGTAACAATTTGCAGAAATTAAAAATGTTAAAAATGCAAACAAACAGCCTGTTCCCCCAAAATAGATGTGTAACTCAACTGGTTGTAATGCACAATTCTTTTGTTTGCTAGGACATATACATCACACAATTTGCTGGGCAGTTTTATGCAGTCTTGCTAATGAAGTCAACACAGCCTACAATTGCACATTATCTGTTTCTAGGAGGGTCACACTTCAAGACAAAATGAGGTAACATACTTTTGTAATTATTCATGAGCCCTGACTACTAGTGAGGTGAAGGAATTTTCCTTTGGATCTGCATAAATAGATCAGATACTTTAGTTTTGACCTAGGCACTGGAGTCAGTTACAGAAGTCACATTTAAATTTGGCCAGATTAAAAAAAGAAAAAAAAAGTGAAAAGTTGGCAGCATCCCCTGATTTCAGGAGAATTTACTCTTATGTATCAAATCACATGTATAATTCTAGAAACAAGGCTGCAGCAACTTGAGTCAAGTTTTAACATCTGGCTGGCACTATTTTGCTGCAGCACAATTGTTTTTTTAAATTAAGAACTTTGCTTTTGATGTCAGTGTGTGCTTAGACAGCTTGAATGGTGAGATCACAGGAAGGATGTGGAGCTCCTGGAGTGCATCCAGAGGAGGGCCACAGAGATAATCCAAGGGCTGGAGCAGCTCTCCTATGAAGACAGGCAGAGGGAGTTGGGGTTGTTCAGCCTGGAGAAGAGAAGGCTCTGGGGAGACCTTATAGCGACCTTCCAGTATCTGAAGGGGCTACAGGAAAGCTGGGGAGGGGCTTTTTACAAGAGCTTGTAGTGATAGAATGAGGGCTTATGGTTTTAAACTGGAAGACTATAGATTTAGGTTCGACATTAGGAAGAAATTATTTACTGCAAGGGTAGTGAGGCACTGGAATAGATTGCCCAGGGAGGCTGTGGAAGCTCCTTCCCTAGAGGTCTTCAAGGATGGGTTTTTGAGCAACCTAGTCTAGTGGAAGGTGTCCATGTAGAGGGGTTGGAACAAGATGATCTTCAAGTCCCTTCCAACACAAATAATTCTATGACTCTATAATAGCTTTTCAAATGACAGTTAGCTTTTTCCCTATAACCTTTTACTACCCAAAACCTTTGTCTTGGCCTTCATAACAGACTCTGTAGCAAAGACAGCCTGTACAGGTCAGGATTTCTCGAAGAAGTATGCTTTCAGTGGCATACTTATGGCTCAGCTTCTTTATGCAGAGCAAGTGGGCACTCTCAAATCTTTGTACATTTTAACTGATGTTCAAATTAGAAATAATTAACTAAAACTGCTAATCTCAAAAGGGCCAGTCTTTCCCTGCATCAGAGGTCTGCTTTGCACTGGTGCAGACAAGGAAAAGGATAACTTGACTTTCACCTATTTTCAAGTTCCTTCAATTCCCAGGAGAGCATAAGCATGCTAGGAGTCCTGCTGGCTTGAAAGCAACACTTACACCACTTTTCTGACTTCACCTCCTCCCATCTGAAATGCTCCTGTGTGGGTTGTGTGTACCATGCCAGAAGATTTAATTAACTGCAAATCTTCCTGTATCCTTGGCTCAGCAGTGTGATTATATAAGAGATTCAATAAAAGGAAACACAACCAAGCACCAAGTTCAGTTTGGCTTCTGGACTCTGGAGGAAAAGCCAGAATGATTGCCCTAGAAGAAAATATTTTCTGTAACTGCAACGACCATATAACTTGGTTAGTCCTGTCCACACAGGAGTGCTTTGGAGTGTTTCCTTTCAAACTCAGTGACATGAACTGCCAAAAAAAAAGCTCATAGTGCTGTGTAATTTCATTACAGGGAATCTTTCAGATAAGTCACTTTCACAAACCACTTTTCAAGTGTATATTTATGCTGTTTCAAGCCTCAAACTAGATTCAACCGATCATCTGAATCCTCCTTAACTCCTGTAAAAGGGTTAATAACACAAAACAGACAGGTAGATAAATTGTTTTGCTATAGGAATTTGCTAATTTTCTTTGAATTCATCCTGCCAGGATATATAGACAGCACAAGAAATGTGCCACAAATTTACAGCCTAGACTATGATAAATTTTAACTGTGCTGTGGCTCACTTCACTTTGTTGTAAAGTAAGAAATACTGAACTTCCCATTCTTATAATAAACTAGGTCCAGTTCATGTCTGCTATATCCTCTGATATCTTTATGTTAAAGCTGTAACATGCAGAGAACAGTAAGTTTTGTGGCTGTCACTTTTTTCACAGCATCAATAATATTCCCTCAGGGCAATTTTTTTTCCCATGTCTATGACAATCACAAAAAGATGAGAGATGCTGAAGAAGCCAGAAGAAGGAATATCCTATCCTACAGTTTAATCACTAGTATCTGTTTTCCTTTGTTACTTAAAGTACCGACCCACAGGAAGGAGAAGCAAAAAGTCAGGAAAAACTTAAGTCTTCTGTTTAATGACAACCTGGGCTGAGATAATGAAAGTAACATGTTGTGTCTTATTATGTAAAATCGGTGGGTCTGAGAGCTTTTCTGGTGCTTTGTTTAAAGGGCAGCTTCTCGACTGCCCACTCGCTACTTCACAAACATCACAGCAAAGGCTGCATCACAGCGATGGCAGCATCTGCACTTGACTCTCAAATAACCCCAGACCCACCAGCAGCTTAGACCTGGCAATGCAGAACTTGCTAGGGCCTGGGAAATCCTCTAAGGAGTTGAGCAATGCTGCCCTCAGACCCACCCTTCCACAGCGACGCTGCTACCAGCACTGTCTATGCCATCTAAAACTAGCTCAGATATGTCTACACCATAGGGCAGACAGATCTTTCAAAAGGACTACAAGATACACAACAGCTTGAAGGATTTAAAAAGGAGAAGATGGGCATGAAGGGCCCAATAGAGAAAAAGCACTGACAAACAAGGAAGCACAGAAAACAAAGTAGACATGGTCCCATGTCATATAGCAGCCTCAGATCTCAAATAAGCTTATCCAAACAAGCTTATCTAAACCAAAATGATTCTTTTAAATTGTGTGCTGAAACTTTTGGGTCAGGTCAGGGGGGGAAGTGTTCTCCACAGCTTCTGCCCGGCCTCTGAGGAGAGCAGGAAATTGGTATTATGCAGAATTCCAAGGAAAATCCTTCCAAATGCAGCAAGGCAAAAAGCTTTTGGTGCCTACAAAGCTTGGCTTGAGGCCATCCTCATCCTTTTTCTACACTTTATGTGAATTTTTGATAAAATCTGTCTTGGACTGCTCTGCTAGAAGGACCACCTCTTCTCGCTGTGCAATGTCACTGAAGGCTCAATAAAAGTAGAGTAATGACAAGCTAAAATAGCTTGACTGCACCGCTGAACTCAGATCCAGAGAAAGGATGAAATTATGCTACTAGAAGAAGCTGTTGAACTAACACTCCTCAGCATTGCTTTTGCAGTTTTCTGTCGTTCTTGCATCTGAAGAGATGTAAATGATCAAGAAGTGACAGTGTTCTAATAATGATGCTCCAATGAAAAAGAAGAAATACAAGTAGAGGATTAGGTTATTTTTTCTTCTGAAAGATAGTTTTAGGTAGGGATGAAAGGATAGATAGTAGAATTGTGTTTCACTCAGACAAGTATGAGTGGAAAGTGTAAATATTCACCCCTGATAGCAGTAGAAATCACTGGTAACACCAATCATGATATGAAAAAGACTTGTCAATAGTAGGATTAAATAATACTACTCATAATAGTAGAAATGGTGTAGGAATAGGACAGAAGCATATCCTGGCATGGGAACAAGTAAGTCTACATTGGCGTAAACATGACCATTTTTTTCAGAGCAGAAAAGCAAATGTTTGTCCACAAGTTTATCTCCAATTACTGGCCTGACTAGTGACTCTATCTGAAAAGCAAATGACTCAAGACCTCCCTCTGTTGCTTTAGCAATTAAGAGCAAATTAAAAAGTTAGTTCTTTGGTGTGAGGTTACATAGCAATAGCTCTAACCTTGGTTGGCACACTTGCATCAACTTCAACTCAGCTGGCACCACTAACTTAACAGGCCCGAGGCTACAGCACGGGCCACAGCCCACATACACCTGTCCCTGGTGCTGCCTTCGTTGCCACACCTACCTGTGGCAGGCAGCAGAAGGATGTATTGCAGTTCTGCATTTATGCCTCCCTTTGTCACAGAGATAACAGCCCATCCCTAGAGCCACAGGGGATATTTTTCCATTGTGGACATTTGCATAGGAAGCAAACAACTGAACACAAGGGAAGGGAGTTGAGAAGCCTTCCCAGCAGCTGGGGCTCCACATAGTTTCCCTGTGAATGGATGCAGGGAATTCCTAGAGGTAAGGCCAGCTGCCCTGATGGGCTCTTGGATCAGTTTGCATTGGAACAAGGGATATTTACCACTTGGAGAAATGACGGTCCTGAGTTTTACCAGTTGCCTACAAACTTGGACAGCAACAAGATCTCAGGGCAGAAGAACCAGTCCAGTTTATTTTCCAAAAGTATCCAAGTAACACAGCAGCCTAAGTAAGATTTTCAAAAGGAGGCAGGAATGTAGGAGGTTTGGTTCTGATTTAAAAAGATATGAGAGGTCAAGACAACCTTCCCTCCCAGCTAAAGCTACCAGCCACCTTTTCT